CTGCTTTATTGCTGGTAAATGTGGCGCTCATCCAGTGCAGAGATCAGATTAGAAGCAGACGTCCCACCAAGGCAGCCTGGCCTGTGAGACTATGGGAAACAGCTTCACTCCCTTGCGGTCGCCCTCCCGTCGAAGGGAGAAAAATGCAGCCGCATGGTATCAGTGCATACTGCTAGGACACGAGGCGCATGCAAACCGGGCCAATTGGCAACCCGCACTCGGCCGTCGGACTCGCCAGGGCGAAGCTCACCAGCATGCGGGGGGAGTGGCTGTGCCATGTCTTCCGAGAGCCCATTCGTCAGGCCTAATTGTGGTGCTCCAGCGCTAATGGAAACCAAATGGCGATGGAACAAACAGTCGCAGACTGAGCGCCAGTATCTGTGATGATAGGAAAATGATTTCATGGGCCCTTGGGTGAGCTCAAAATCAGGGGGATTTCAGCATTTACCTGGGGGGGGGGGGCAAAGAGGCAAAGAGGGATAAAAGAGACACTATCAGAAAGAAAAAACACAAAGTCCGGTACTGGTTTTAATGGCGTGGCCACACTAACTCCATGGCATCCAATAGACCTAGGCACACTCTGACCATGTCCTTTGACGTCACCTGAAGTCTACGTCCCGTGGAAAGCGGATCCTGTGAACAAACATTCCTCTAATCTAGACCAAGGCAACACGTCTCCTCTGGATCTGTGAAAGGCAAATGCCATGGAGGAGGACGCTTACAAGGCAGTGAACAGACAGATTTCCCTGAAATCAACCCCTGAGAGTCGTGATCAGGCGTTACATCCAAGTTCAAACAAAAAAAAAAAGTAGTTCAGAATGACTAAATATTTTCTCATAACTTCTTGAGTAATCTGTTTCATTACATGGGTCAAGGGTCTCAACCCTGCAGTCAGCACACACATGGAGATGAGCTCAGCCTGGAATATGCCTGCACCTCATCCAGTTACAGCATGACGATAACAGCACTGAGAATCGCTCCCATGCCAATGTCAAAAACGAGCATGTCCTTAATTACAGGGGTGTGTGGTGAAGCCTCCCCCGGCCGGCACCTCCACTGTACATCGGCCTCGCATTTCTGGCCCGAAACCTCCCAAGATTCACAACCCAGATGTTCGAGAACATCACCTCTCTCTGCCCGCGCTTTTGAAAAACAAACCCCAACAAAGCTGGAAGCTTTACTCTCCATTCAAGCCAAGTTCGCTTTTAAGCTTTTCGTCCCAACACATCCAACATGAAACAACTATCTCTGCGATTCATGTTCTGCTCAGTTTTGAATATTTCAGGAACTCTGGGCGTCGTCCTTCTGTTCAAGCACAAAAGGCAGCATGAGCAGATTACACTCCAATCCAAGTTTATCCAAGGAATAATATTTTTAGAGCAGTTTCATCTTTATAAAAAGACTTGACGCGAACATCCAGCTCACGACTCGAAACGGTAACATGACAACAGTGATTATTGAAATTAACCACATCAGAGTTCATTTTTAACCGTAATTTTTGTGGCACTAATGTTATTAAAAACATTTCAAGGCCACATGTGAAGGAGATGTTATGGATCTGCACCTTCCGCTCCTGCCAGGCTGAGACTCAGAGTCAGAGCCCGAAAAAGCCCTACCACAGCACCGCTCGACCCGCATAAACGCGAGCAGATGTGTTGCTTTGGGCCCCTAATCGGATTAAACCCATGTGGGCCCCGAGTTTCGTCACTGCAAGGCTCCAGGGGCCAGCTGAAGCGCTTTCACAGCCTGGGGTGCTACTGAGAGGGTGGGGTACCAGGCAGACATTGTGGGAGAACAAGCACCCCCAAAAATATGCCAGATTTTAGCCAGGACCGTGTAGGACACGATGTAAAAACTCACCATTAGTACAAGCTAGAGCTGTTTTCCAATGAGGCCAAATTCAAAACAGGCTTTTCCAAATTAAAATGATTTCCATCCGATATTTCTACCACAACAAATCCCAGAATCTCTACAACCTGAAAAAGCCACCGAATTTCACCAAAAACAGCCAGCAGATGGAGAGTTTCACAATGACCAGTGAGGAAGGAGCTCTGAGACTCTAACTGCCGAGGTCCTCAAGGTCGCCAGGAAAGCACCTGAACGCGCGCGCACCTGAACGCAAGCTCGTGGGACTCGTTAAGCCGCAGCTGAAGCCCCGTGGGCTGTAATTAGCCTCAGTCTCCATTACACTCTGCCGTTTCTAAACCGGCCTGAGATCTCCCATATTTCATCTCGACAGCTACACGGAGAATAAACATTTTGAGCAGTTTACTGTATTTATGTGTTTACGTCTACAAAAATAGGAGAAGGTCCAGAACATTCCTAGAGACCCAAGAAACAGCCGCAAATATCTTTACGTTAAGTGGGGCAGATGATGAAGAGCGGTTTGTTGGCGGGTGGCCGCCTGATTCTCCATTCCGTGAACTTTCTGCCTTCCCTAAGAGCCTCCGTCTGATCCCATCGATCTCAATAGCAGATTCTTCCACGTGTCGGTGTCTGAGTCGAGCCTCTTAGGGCCACGGTCAGCCCTTCTGCTTTTTCACTCTGCCGCTGCCTGTACTGCATGCGGGTCCGAGGGGCCAGTCCTTACGGAGCCGGAGACGCTCCAGCACAGCAGGTCAGGAGAGCAGGTGACAGGTGGTCTGGGAGCATCCAGCACCTCTGGGAGGAACACGTCTGAGTTTTAAGCACTGTTGAACATTAATTTTCTTTGTGGCTTCAAACTTCCCTCATGGAATCACGCCCATGCATGAAGTGACAGTGTTTACCACTACACATTTGTGTGGGCCACCTGAGATAAACATACATCTAGAAATATGTACAGCCCCCCCCCCCATTGGCAAGAATCAGTCACTACACTAGAGGGAGTGGGGGCCTCAGACACATAAGGCCGTCCATGCATGCATGTGCACACAAGGATGCACCAAGGCCCTCGGATATCTCCTTCATCAGAATGCTAACAAAACACCACCTATGGAAGGCGACAGCCCTTCCATTGGCTGTGTGGGTAGCACTCACTAGCCAATAGCAACACACACGGCGTGAGGCCATCACGTGAAATATAAACAGCGTCAAAGTGCCTGGCTGAATACTGATCCGAATATTTACACACTTTTACAGTAAAATATTGTAATGCATTTAGCAGTACCGTACACAGGCAGTTCATTTAAAAGCTCTGATAAAAATGACTGCTGGGCCACGGGCTGATTTCCTCACGTTATCCTTCACGAAATTCACCCAGACTTAATTCCATACAAGAAAAACAAGAATTAACACAATACACAGTTGCCCTTTAATTAAGGGCCATTTGGGTCCAATTCCGCTAATCTTGTTTAGCAGTAATGTGGCTGGCATTAGGGACGGTAAAGAAAAGGATGTGTGAATGCGTTTATGCCCTCAGAAGGGCCTGCGTGGCCCATCAGGCTAGCATGCAGGAAAATAAAAATCCTTTCAGTGAAAAATAAAATTCAATAAAAAAATAAAGCCCTTTTAGTGGCGTGCTGTGCGTCAAATCACATAAACAGCAGAAGAAAGCAGAGGCCTAGTGCTGTGTTTCCCTTCACGCAATTAACGTCGCCATCTGCAAGCATTTTGCTACAATCTGCCTGCCAAGCTGCTGCAGATTTTTATTTTTTGGTGGGGGGGGGTGGGTGGTACAATCCCTCATTTTCAAAGTCACATGTGCTTTGGTTCAGGACTGGCACGGCTGAAGTCCGCTGCCACTATTGAAATGCAGACAATGACAACTTAAGAGGTTACGAAATCGCTAAACACCCCCCTCCCACCGAACTTCCAATCAGAGGAAGAGCATGACCAAGCGTGCCAAACACGGACGAGGGGGCCCGACGGGTCAGGCCTGTGCGAGGACAGCGGTGTGGTTTCAGGACAGCCTGAAACAGGGAAGCAGCCCACTTTCATATAAAAATGTGGAGCAATAGCATCATTCATAATTAAAAAAAACCCTCTAGTCTTTCACAGCAGTAATATTTCGGGGTCTGATTACATTTATGCTTTTGTTTTAGTTAGCAGATGAAGATATTTTGTTGAGGGAGCAGGGTCAGGCAGTCTTTGGAGTAACTGGGAGTTAAGGGCCTTGCTCAAGGGCTCAACAATAAAATCACTCTGCCAACATGGGGATTCAAACCCATGACCATCTGATCACAGACACACCACCCCCAAGACTGAGGGTAGTTACACATAATTAGTAAATTAAAAGCGTCTGATCCTCCTTGAGGCGACTGATCAGGCCTCCTAGCTGTGTACAGGCACCTTGACAACAGTCTCCGCCCATCGGCCGGCTGGACGTGATGCTCCCACAACAGACATGTGACCTCGGTGGCCTTCGGCTCTCCCACACCACACGGAGCCAGGTGGCCCTGCTCAGATTGTAACAGCTGTCCGGTGTTGGATCCGGTCATAAATTCCACGGCTGCTCCAAACTCCCTCGTACTGAATTTGAAAAACATTCAAATTTACAAAATTGCCACAGCGTCCGCTGTTTCGAGCGAGTCTGCATTAAACATACACTTTGAAAATATTCCGTAACCATCATGAAAGAACGGCCCCCTTCACGGGAAAACCACCCAAAACTCACTTCACCGGTATGAGTTACTTCACTCGCAGACCCACCTTAGGGTTTCCCAAAAACAGCATCATTTAAAAACACTGTGAATGATGTCACATGACTCACACGTGATTCTGCGGCTAGACACACGAGGCAGTGCCACCCCTCGTAAGAAATCATGCTTTTATTTACATTAAATACAACATGACATAAAACAGGTAAAACAGCCCATCTAAAAACTAGCTTAAATCAAAACTTCAGGAGTTGTGGTCCTATTAAAAGGGCGTGAAAAGGCGCACAAAGATTAAAGCGATGGGAAGTGTCGGGGCGGGATTGAGAGCCAGTTGGCCCAGGCTGAGGTAACGGGCCACATGAAGTACCATGGCATTGCCAGCGAGGAGACGATTTCAGAAGGAAAGCTCTCGTTCTGGCCTTATTAAAACTCTAGAAGGTCCTCGAAGAGATGGTGGCGGAGAGCCACGGACGCCGATATCCGCGTGGCGGGATTCAGGTCCAGCAGCTTGTCCAGGAGGTCATATGCAGCGTCCGGCACGCAGTCCCACCCCTTTCTGTCTGCGGTGGGCCCGGCGTCCTCAGGCAGCAAATGGCACCGCCTGGGAGGGGTCGTGGGCAGACCGAGGTCTCTCTCCGTGTCCCCGCAGGGCCGTGTCCCTCTCAGCTTCTCGCAGAGCAGTCGGAGATCCTGGGTAGGCAGTTCACGGCTGCACAGGACGGATTTGCCTATGTGAGGAAGAAGCCCACCCCCCCAGCTGGGTTACACCCTTGCTCCGGATTAAACACACCCCTCCCTCATCGGAACACCATCAGGGCCCTCGGTACGGTCACAGGTCAAGAGGGGAAAGGACCACAAGCTTATCGCACAGCAGACAGCCATGGGTCTGCCAGACCGGGGCCTCTTCTTACCAGCAGCGTCCGCAAAAAGCCAGAGGTGATTTTTTTACTCCCGTTTAACCCCCTGGGGTCTGAGGCCTCTTTTCCACTTTCGAGGTAGTCTGACATACCTTGACATTTCAAAATATTTCACCTATCTAAAAAACATTTATCCCAAAGTGTTCCATGTGTTTTTATTCAGCACAAACTCAGCACCAATAATCTAACACATGCTTTTCAAAAACCTTTTTTCAGACATGCTGATAAATTGCAAAAAATCACATTATAGACATTTCTAGGTAAGACTTTTGAGCTCTGAAGCTTATAGACACAGGGGTTGGCTACACATAGGTGAAAGAGACATTCTGAAATTTTATGTGGTTTGATTACTAAAGTGTTAGAACTTTGGAGTGACACTCTTTTTCTCAAAGTCAGTGGCCTTCACAATGAATATTGATTGAAACGCAAGAAAGTAGCAACAATAAAATCCCTTTCACAGTTTATTGGTACAGTAGATGGAATGAAAAATGAT